ACAGGGTGAATCTATTAGTGTGTCCCCTATTGATTTCAGACAAACCCTTGGCCTCAAATTGATTAAACTAATTTTTTACTACCAAACCAACTCCCAAAAATAATTATAAAGTTTTTTAATGCTTTTAAAATATTTTTAAAGTTTTTTGTTAATACATGATATACCAAAAGCAGAGGATCACTAGTTCAAACCTCACAGTTGTCAAATACAAATTTTTGTCGTCTTATACATCACTTTAAAGCTCTTATTAGTACGAACATTTTGATGTAGGAAGGATTTAACTATTTTGATTTGTTTAATGGGCGCTCTTTGTATGAAAAGCTTGGTACTATTTCAAATCCCATATTTTCCTTGAAAATTTATATATCTTTATTCTGATTAAATTTTCCATTCCTTATGAGCCAAACTTTACTTTGTTACCAATATTACAATAATATAAAAAACAAGAATATTTTGTTAGTAGTTAAATAGTCAAACTCAAACATTTTAAAAGCATTATACAGCATATAATTTTTATGGTATTACAATTCTAAGCAAATTTAAACGCTATCCACAACTCTGTTAGTTTTCAGATTATCAACTACAAACGTGTTTTCCTCATATAAAAATGTTAATTGTTTGCAGTGCCGTTCGTATCTCTTGAGACAGTGTAACATAATATGCTTAACAATTAACATGTGACATGTGTTCAGTTGATAACTCGCAAACTAACAGAGTTACGGATATGTTTTGGATTTCATAGATGCTAAATCATACAATTACAGATTTTTTGCATTAGTAAGCTAGGATTATGGCAAAAAATATTATGTTGTATAGGTATTCAAAGTTCATCGTTGTATTTAAACATTACACTATGTAAGTCTTTAGCTTAAAATGATTTCCAGTTTCTTTTATTATTACTAGATTAATGGAATAAGTAGAAAAATAAAAGTTTTTTTCTGTAAATAAAAGATAAAATTAAGATTAATCGCATAAATGATTAAGTTTAATTTCACTTTCACTAAACCATTCCAAACCAAAGGTACGACAAGAACATCTCCCGAACTCTTGAAAGCGTTATATTTCTTCCAACCAACGGAGCTGGAAGAAATATTATCGTATTGGTATCACCCAAAAAGTAATATATTAATAATATATTAACTATGTGGTGTAATATAACATAATATATTAATAATATATTAGTAATATATTAATCAAAACGTTGTCTGCATATAATTGAAGATTTTTGGATTTATCACACATTCAATACATAGCTAAAATCTAATCTAATCTTGGGGTAGGATGTTAAATGATAGAAATGTGTCTCGGTAATCTTAAAGTTTCGTCATAAATAATTATTTTTATTCCATCACAGAGCTGACAAAATTAAACTAAAGATAGTTTCTTTAAAACTAAAATATGTTACAGTGTCCTGCTGTGTTATTCAATGCAAAACTATAGACATTACAAGTCGTTACAAGATTAACTATAATAGAATATTATCTTCCGACAATGTTAACTACTGATCAACTCTACATATTTACCTGATGTTGACGATGGGGTTTTAACACCAAATCATGTCTTGAATTGACATATCTTATTTAGCTGTGACGGGATTACAATCATTAATTACATAGTAAATGTTTCCACTTTTGTCATAGAGTTTGTGGCCTCGTAATATTTAAATTTATAACTTTAAGTTTACAAACGTTCTAATACTTTCTATGAAATTGTAATGTAATTTACTGACAAAGAAAAGGAAAAGATAAAAAGAAGAAAAGAAGCAAAACGCTAAAACCAATTTGGCTCTTCGGAAACTCTATAGATTCCTTGGAATTACCAAAGAAGCATAATGTAATTTAAGAATGAAATCATCTGGAACTGTTTTGTTCTCAATTGTTCTGAATTCCATTTAAAATTTAATATTTACCCTTGAAATCTGTATTTATTTCGTCACATTAAAACTGTATCTATAATTAATCCTTGTAAGATTTTGGATCTGTGACAAAAATATTTTTACATATTATAAACATTGTATAACATATATATTAAACAAATATATTAGTATAATTTATTACATTAAACATATTACAACACATTTTTCTAACCTCTTTTATTGAAAGGCTTATAACAGAACCACGTTATATTATAAAAACTGGGTTTGCCATTGAAAATAGTGGTTCTAAAAGATAAAAAAATATTGTTTTTATTTGCAACGCTGGTAAAACAGTATTTATGAATAGTAAGACCTAAGACATTTGAAACTTTTAAAAGTTAAGACTAACATTTCTCAAATATATTATGTTTTCTGATGGTCTCATGAATTAAAAAAACATCCGAAAAGAAAGTTTCTGCTAATGTATTGAGAAGTTCCCGGGTTTAGAAAAATAGGTTTCGTTGGAAGTTTAGTAAAAACAATGTTCGTATACATTCAACAAATTGTCGACCTAAATTTGGTAAGTTGTAAAAACACTATTAGTCACCTAAAAATATTGTAACTTCATATGTGAAGTTAAAAAATGGCAGACTGTTGTCTATAAATTAAGACAAAGAGTAAATTATCGATAAAAAGGAGGTGAAATGTATATAAATAATTCATATTAAGACTCAAAAATATTAAAAATGTATTTTAACAACTAAATTTTAGCAATCCTGATAACGCCAGCCTTTGCCATGTACATTCTAAAAGAGGGTTTAAAGTCCTTTGACGTCTTTTGACTCTTGATTAAAACATTTTCAATCCACAAGTAAGCACGTTATACCAAGCATTAACCAAAAATTTTTTAATTATACCTATCAAATACAAACATTTGTATTTAATTAACAAGTCTTATGTTAATTGCAATATGTTTATTTACTAAACAAAAGATATCCATGCTCAGGAATGTTACTAACAAATCAGTTAAACACTGAGAATTTAAAAATTGAATAACAGAAACGTTATTTTTATTTGTTTATCATTTAAATACATTTAATATGCTTCTAAAGTGGTTATTTTAAATGCAATCAGATAGTACTGAGCTCATATTGACGGCTACATGGAAATTTGTATTGTAATGCGATTGAAGATATTTCCTAGGCTAAAGAAAAATGTGTTTGGTATCCAAAGCATTCCTTAGTTTAAGTGTTTGCTCTCCTCATGATGCAAACTGAGCAAGTTTACTTTAGTCAGTAAACATCCCTTAGACCATTTGTGTAATCTGACTTGTTTTATTTCTTATAGTTCTTATTTGATGTAATGCTCAGTTATTACAGTGCTCTGATATGGCCTTTGCTCGTCGTTATTTTCATTCATCTTCAACTTTTTTCTTGTGTTTTAATTCAAAAACGAAAAAATAATAATACATCTTTTTCAGTCCTAGATGTTTTCATATTTTATATCAGTATTTACTCGATTTTCTTTCAAGTGACGGAATTTTAATGTGTTGGTATATTAGTATAAATTGTAAACATATAACGAAACGACTTCTTACAATATACAGGTTGCGTATGAACGGCATACAGGAAGCATGTTACTTATATTATAGTAAATCTCAAATTAGTGTTGTACGCATTTTACTTCAACAATTGTATTAACATTGCAAATCTATCTAAAATATGGTACACATTTTTATTGTTAAGCTATAGTTAAATTAGTTAAGTTTTGGACGAAAACATCATTATTATGGCTTTTGCAAATATACTGACTACTGAGATATGATCAAAGCTATATTTTTTTAATCTCAAAACCAAACAATATATTTTAAAACTGGTGGGTAGTAAATTGTTTATTTTTAGGTATAAAAAATATAATGTGATAATTATGATTTTTTAAAGATGTCGGGTAGGTACCTTATGTTCAGCATATTTTATCTTTATTGTTGTTTTTGATTTTTAGTAAACTACATTTTGTTGTTTTTTTTTGTAAATTTTCTACCGAATATTTTTGGATTACAAGTAAAAAAATGTATAAGTATACATTATTTACTTTTCAATTATATGTTGTTATATATGCTACCGTAGGCATATTGACTCAAACTAAATTCCATCTGTAACTCAGTACTTTCAATATCAATACTGTTAAGTACAAAATACGGTAGTAAGCTTCAAAATATGTACAGTATTTTATCATATGTTAACAATCTAAGTTCAAAATCGTTTGCAATATAGTCCTATAATTGTTTATAATTACAATCTTGTTCAATCATCCATTTCCTGATAATTTCTTAGCTCAGTAATTACAATGCAACTAAATCAATCTCAAATGTATTAGACCTTACAATTTATGTATATAAAATGTTTTTAATTGATTTTATTTGTAATTATTTACGCTACTGAATACAGTGTCTATAGAATGCAATTTCATCTCCGTTATTTGTGTATTCTCATTGTTCCTGCTGTAAACAAAAGTTATATAATGAGGGTTGTTACGCTCCAGGCTGTAGTTGAAAATTCTCTTGTTTGGAGTTGGGTTTCTGTTGTAATGACCAGTGATGTTTCAATAATCTATTTTACCATGGATTTTAAAAAATCTTAACAATCAACAAACATTTTCTAACATAAAGAAAATATTTGTACTACGAGGTGGTTTTAACTCAGAATATATGATGACTATATATGATATGAATATATGATGATATGATTACATGTTTGAACGGCAGAGATTGAGTAAAAAAATAAATTTTACTAAATCTTGTATTTACATAGCAACACAATTAATTCAGGATTTGCAGTTTGTGAGTTTAGTAAATACCATAAACCTGGAATCATTTGCGTTCTGACTAAAACCAGGATTAACTTGGTGTGGGACTCTTGAATAGAGCACAAAAAACTAATAGTAAAATTTCATTACCATATGAAATCTTAGGTTCATATCACTTAACAGTTGATCGATTTAATTATTGAACGAGATGGTCATATGTTTTGAATTCTGAGACGTCATAGATTGCATTAGTGTGTTAAACTTATATGACAAGAATAAAAATAAGCCATATAACTTGTACACACGTTTAGTATATAACTGGTTTGATATTGTAAATAAATTGGATTCTGTATAATGATGAAAACCTCAAACGTATTCCAGAGTCCATCCTAAGAAAAGTAATAATATTGTTTTGACGTCATTTTGTTTCCTATTTGTGAATTGCAGCAAAAAGTTTGTGTCTACGTTGTGTTCAATAGATATCGGTCATCTTATAGACTATTGTAAAATCTATAATGTTTGGACGAACACACATAAATTCAACTTCATCGCTACATATGTTTCGTAATCAAAACCTTGCTTAGCGGCTAAAACACATTCGGCAAAAACATGCCTAGTCTTAACGTAAAATATTGCAGAACTACTTTATCTGCACCCTTATTTCTATTGGTTCCGCAAGATTTATTGTTACTGTTTAATGGTGCGTATGTTAATATCATGGTGGTGCCGCTGACATTTGAGAGTGCTGATTTATTTTAAAACTTGGAAATTTGGTTGAGAGCCCAAATCTTAAGTGTCTTCTGTGTGTAGGTTGTATAACCCTCGGTAAGTTACGAATCGTTTCGACTGAAGCAAACGCCGAAAATACTTTGTCTTTCACGACGTATAGTTTAACATATAAAGTAATACATTCCTTTCCTACATACATTACTTTACATACCTATGAATGGTGCTATGTATTTATTTGTTGTTTTTTTTATATAATATCAATTCAAATATTAAATGATAAAATTCTGGTGCATTAAACTTTTTACTC